CCATTAAATTTAGAAAAATCTATTATACAAATTTTATTATAAATTTTAAAATAACTTATTTAATAAAATTTTCTTTAATTATAAAAAGAAAAATTTTTGCCATTATGATCATATAAAAATTGATTTACATATCCTCTACCTTTAAAAAATCATTTGTGTTCTTGCAAAGTGTATTGTCTACTCTTTTTATCCTTCTAATTCAAGTTTATTATTTCAAAAAAGTCAATATGATATTTTCTGATTTAATTTATTATTCTAACTAAAGTTTAGAAAAATCAACATGATACTTTTACAAAGTGCAATAGCTAATACATTTTGTTCTTTAGATCTAAGTTATTATTATTCCAAATAAAATCCAGAAAAGTCAATAAGGTATTTGCAAAATTTATCAACTAATACTTTTTGTTCTTCTTATCTAACCAAGATCTAAAAAATAAGTATGGTATTCTTGTAAAGTGCATTGACTAATGTTTTTTTTTTTCTTTTAATCCAAATTTATAATTTCAAAATGTCTATATAATATTCTTGCAAAGTGTATCAGCTAAAGCTTTTTGTTCTTCTGATTTAAAATTATTTCAATTAAGATCCAGAGAAGTCAATGTAGTATTTTAATTTTTCATTCTTATGTTTAAAAATCATTTTAAAGTTTAGAAAGATCAATGAAGTATACTTGCAAAGTGTATAAGCTAATGCTTTCTCAATCACTACCTAAAAATAGGTTAACAGTTTTGTAAATTTGCCTTTCCATGACATTGTGAAGGTAAAAAAAAAAAACAATTTTGTAAGTATAAATAGTTAAGTGGTTTTAAATCTTCACACAAAAGTTTGCTATTTTTTCATTTTTTGTAGTAGAAATGTTTATAGAACTTACTAATTAATACTATAGATTATGAAACAAAAAGGCATTCTTGAAAACAAGATTCTATTTGAGTTTATTATTTTTCTAACTTTAAACATAAGGATAATAAGATATTTGTCTTGCTAAATCATTTTACATTGTCCAAAATGCGGTTTTCTTTTTGGGAACCCCTGAAAACAGTGATTAAAAATGGTCTACTGTTGCAATTTACTATGAAAATCGAGAATTTTTTATGAGTGTCTATCACTCAAATTTCATAGTAAAAAATTTATTCACCTGATCTGTGTGACATCTGGATCGACTGGTAAGTGAAATGGGTCTTTTATAACTGATAGAGGACTAGTTAGACAATAAGAGTGATGATTAGGAGTAAAGCAAATACAGGTGATGCTGTTAAGAGTGGATGATCAAGTGATACTTTAAGTTCACGTGATGAATTATCCAATCGTAAGGGTCATTCTCTACCACAATTCCCGCAAGTCACTAATGTGAATAGCAATATCTGATTCTACAACCGTTTCAGAATCCGAGTCTTAATAATCCAAATCGAAGTTACCAGCCAATACGGTCCGTTGAATTGAGTCTCGAAAGAGTTATTAAAGTTACAAGTCGAATTCAATAAATAATTCACAAGAGAAAATTCAGATAAGTATATATTCTTTATTAGTTATTAGGGAGTGAAAATGGTCAAGTAATTGAATAATGTCGTTCTTTATTGAATTTCAGGCACTTATATACATTTTGTTTTGTTAGAGCGTTTACGCTCTTGTTTTGAACGTATATGTACTTCTTTTTTGAGCGTGTACGCTCTTTTTGAACATATATGCTCTTGTTTTGAACATATATGCTTATGGCGCAGGGATCAACAAATTTGTGTAAGGACGTATACATGGTTCTTTTGAGTGTATAGTATACGCGCTTGCATAGAATAAGCCACCAAGCCACAATCAACTGCCATTTTAGAATACTTGATTAAATATTTACACGATACAAAGAAAAGTCGGTTACTGCTATGAAAATGGAATTGAACAGAACTATATACATAAATAATAATATAATAATAAGGGATAAAAACTATACTATAAAAATAAAATAGAAAAGAAAAATTTTATTCATTACAATATCAAATGAAATGGAAACATAAATTAAAGCTATTAAATTATATGTTTGTAACCTTGAAGCAATTCATTCTTAAGGATTCACAGAGATTTGCACAGTGGAAATATGTTACAAGATGGTTTATCTCTGATCTGGGATTATTAAAATCTAATTCTGTGCAATTTTGCCATAGAAAATTTTAAGGGTCAATCGTAGATTATAACATCAAATATTAATTCATTTGGAATTATATTGTAGAGAATATTATATGGGATGCCTGTATATTGCTATCATAAATTTAGTAAACAACAGCTTCAATTTAAAATATGTTGCGATGATTTACGACCAACAGTTAACAAAAGAAGCACCACTATGTTTCGTAAAAGAATGTTGGGATAAAAATGGCAAAGTAATAAAAAAAGGTTTGTTGGAATTAAATAAACCCAAGATAACACTCGAAAATATCGAAAAATCATATGCAGGCACGTTTAATAATGGAAGCAGGTTTATTCTTTATAATGAATCAATTTCAGATTTTGACAATGGATTACAAAATTTAAAAGAACTGATACTGTTATCCCTAATAGTATTTAAATTTATGATTCGATTTTTTTATTTTTATATGTATATACTTTTACAAAATTTTAAAATTTTAAAATTTGATTAAAATATAAACCAGTTTCTCGTGGAAACTAGTTAGCTCGATCTGAACGATGAAGCTACCTCGGTATTGTGAAAGGTACAACACCATTAAGATTTTTTTAATATTACGTGTAACATGAAAATCATATTTTTTTAAAAAAAAATGCAAGTCGAATTACGTAAATCAAAATTTGACCTATGAAACCGCTTATACAAAATTTGGGCGTAAACTTAAGTCTATTCCATCTTAACATTGCTGTTTATATTTCAATCGTTTTCGATGGGATTTAATTGGTGCAACTTTCACTGTGTTATTGAAATATCTGAAAGATTACAATCCAGAAATCTAATAACAATTTTAATTGCAAAGGAAAGAAATTATTAACCAATTCAGGACTTAACGTTAATAAATAATGTTGTACAAAGTAGAGCGAGTGAAGGTATAAGGAGTTAATGGATAATTATAAAGTATTGGTTAATCTTAATACGGTGGCACATATTTCCTTGATAATTGTTCTCCGAAAGTTAAGGTTGGACCAATTTTAAAGTTAGGGTTGGCCCGATTTAAAATTAGGGCTGACAAGAATTAGATGTCGGAGAAAAACATCACATATGTTTTAATATAATTTGAATGCAATTTTAATATAAGACAGATTAAATATACTAATATAGTTAATATAACAAAATATAAATATATTTTTTTAGTCATTAGTTTTGACAGATTGGTTTCGGAAGCTTACAAAAATTAATTTGCATGATATCAATGATATTATATGATAGTTATCGTTATTAAATACTATGCAGCCGAATTTTCTTAAAACGCGATTCGACTAAAAGCATAGAAAAAGTTTAAATATGTATTTACAAACCCAAAACTTGTAAACTTGTATGAGAATTATAAATGTCATACTTATTGATTGCATTTAAGTAGTATTTGTGGAGGTTTAACTGCACATATTATCCGTTAAAAAAAAATTATGCATATAACGTATAACAAATTATTAGTTAAATTAAATGTAATATGTAATTAAATTAAATTACAAACAGTTCGTGTAACAGGCTATTTAGAGAAAAAAGAATTAATAATAAAGTTTTAAATGACTATAATAAGAAAATTAACGGTTAACAGTTTTTGACAAGTATATTAATATCAGTAACGAGTAATAATTAAATTTAATAACAGTCCAGGCCTATACAGGTATATGAAAGAGTAAATATGGAAATATGGTCTATCATATCGTATCACATGGATAACATGGATAGTTTCTAGATCGATGATGCTTAAATTAGGTTATCGTTATCATAAACTCATGACATAAACAGTTGTCAAATTAAAATAAACAAATTAATATTTACAGATTTATTTATCTTTTATCTATGAAAATACTATAATCATTGTATGTATCAGTAAATTTAAATGGTTAAAGTTCATGATTTAGGGATAAAGTTCAAACACAAGAACTCTTTCGGACATATTCAGGATACAATGTCTTTATTATTTCCTGATTATAGAATGAATACCTTCACTACCTGAAGGTACCCAGAGGTACGTACGTATGTATGTAAGCAAGAACACTGCGTCAAACTATAATAATTAGCATAAAGTTAAAACTTTATGTTGTCTTTATATTTATGAAATCTTATTAAATCTTATCGATTGGTTTCGTATAAACTTTTCAAATGCATAACGAAAGTTTTTTTTTACGTATGTATTACTGAAAAAGATAACAAGTTATCTTATCTTTCAAATGAAATATTTTTGACTCGTTTAACATTAACTGTGTAATTAAATAAATGCAGCCACTTAATTTTGAGGAGAATATGATTCGATAATATTACTGCAAAACATATGAAACTTTATTGACGTACTTAACAATTACGGATTAATAGAAATTTTGCTTTTTTATAAATTCACGTACCGGGTACGTACGTACAGTACGTACAGTACGTATTAGGTATATATGCATACGTATATATGTGTGTGTCTATATATGCGTATGTATATTCGTACGTACGTATGTACGTATTTGCGTACGTAAGTAATTACGTAGGGGTAACGTTTCCAGATTAAAGGTAATCAACTACCACTTAAGTCATGTAAATATTTACATTTGAAGTGTTTGCATTTGAATGATGAGATATGAACGTCGTAAGCGTAACACTTCAAATATTAACTTTTATGTATCAAGAAAAGTACTCTAGCAATAAATCACAAATAATAGATTATCATACAGACTAATTTAACATATACATAAATATTTAAAATGAATTTTGTAGTTTGTTTCACCAGGATTGACGAATATCTAATATAAATAGATGAATTCCACGTCACTTAGTAAATTTGTAATTTTTATTTTTCAATTATTTATTAAGCATATTTTTAATTATCATTTGCCAAAGAATGTCTTATGGTTCGCGATGGACAAATAAAAGAAGTTCGGGAATAAAAGATGATTACGATGATGGTCAACTGTCTCCTGTTGATGAAGAACTTTTAAGCATAGAAGGGGGCGAATACTTCCTTCCAAGCGCTGATAAAGATATTGAAAGGTTACAAATGCAGCATTTTCTTTTTAGATACATCTGGGATGGAAATTTTTCATCTCCGATCCATGACAATTTTATTGATGGTCGTGTTAAAGTGTTGGATATTCAGTACGTATTTATTATTCTTGTGCTAACAATACTTATGTTAATTATATCTATGTTAATTATATCTATCATATCTGTGATGAATTAATGTTACTTTAGATGTGGTTCCGGAATCTACATTACAGAGTTGGCTACTCAGTATCCGACATCAACCTTTATCGGAATCGATGATGATGAAGCTCGTTCTCGCATACATATCGAACTACCAAATGCTGAATTTATTCATCTCAATGATATGTTAGAAGAGTTGCCATTCCCAGGTTAAATTTTATAATTTTTATAAATTAATTAAATTAGCTACTGTAAATTATATAAATCAATTTATTTCTTTATTTCTTTATTTTAGATGACACTTTTGATTTCGTGAACCAAAGGTTTTTCACAACCGTATCCATTAAAAAATGGAAAATGTTTATCTTACCAGAGATTATTCGTGTTTTAAAACCAAATTCATATTTAGAGATAATGGTTAATATTCATTTTCTTGGATTTTTTATTTAATCTGTAATCCATAATCTCGTATAACTTCTTTAACACATATTTGTAAACATGTAGGAGATGCCGACTTGGTGTGATATGGGTCCTGTAACAAAACAAATAATGAAATCCTGTATGTGTTTCGTTTTGAATGATTAAGATTATGCGAATACGATTGAAATGTTATTAATATATTTATATATTTATTTCGATTATAGTTAATGAATATCTAGAAACAATAAATGTCTACCATACAGAACCTCTTCAATTGGAACAGATTTTAAAACACTCAGGACTTGTCAAAAATATTCATTGTTGTTCAAAAACTACTCATTTATGGAGAGGAATGGTTGGTCAATTGGTAATTATAACAGTCGGCCGACATGTCGTTTACAATTGCAGACTTATTGATCAAATTAATTGACGTACTTAAATTTTATAAGGAAA